GCGGAAGATCTCCGGGTCGGGAGGAGGAGACTCCTGCAGACTGGCGTCCTGCCCCCACACGTGCTCTTCCTCATCCTCCTCTTCGACCTTCACTATCACGATGCCGTCCTTCTCCTGGGCAGCGTTGGGGGACAGACCGGTGGCTTCCCTTGACTCAGCAGTCATCATTCAGGCTCAGGGACCTGACTTGATCCAAACAGGGTCTGTGCTCTCCTTTCTGTCCTGGGAAATGTTTTCTGATATCTGTTTCTGTACTATTCCTGAAGGAGTAAAAAAAAAAAAAAAAGAAAAAAAAAGTTATTGGTACCTTTATGAAAAGTGACCTGTGCTGTTAATACTTCATACAAGGCTACACATCAAGGCATTAAAAATGCCTCTGGGGGCTTCCCTGATGGTGCAGTGGTTAAGAATCCACCTGCCAACACAGGGGACATGGGTTCAAGCCCTGGTCTGGGAAGATCCCACGTGCCGCGGAGCAAATAAGCCCGTGTGCCAGAACTACTGAGCCCGCGTGCAACAACTACTGAAGCCCGCGCGCCTAGAGGCTGTGATCCACAACAAGAGAAGCCACCGTGATGAGAAGCCCACGCACTGCAACGAAGAGCAGCCCCCCCCAATCGCCGCAACTAGAGAAAGGCCGTGCGCAGCAATGAAGATCTGACACAGCCAAAAATAAATAAATAAATAAATAAATAAATTTAAAATGCCTCTGAATAGCAAAGGGGAAAAAAAAAGCCTCCAGAGCCACACTGTTTTCCCTGTCACTTTAGATATTAAGGTTTGCAAACAAACTTCCAACTGGCAAATTCCCCCCTCAGGGTGTTTGCCTGAGCACCATCCCTCCAGGAGGAGGGCAGGCTATGACATCATGTGTTTACACGCTAAGCCCAGTGAGAGCGGAATGTTAGTGGGGTGCCAGGCACCCGCTTCAGCAGCACGCTAGCGATCTTACCCCCCTCCCACGACACCCCTGGAGCACCATCTCACAGATGACACGACTGCGGCTCGGACGACTCAAGTGATTTGCTCAGGAGCAGGAGACTACCTACCTAGCAGAGTCAACACTCAAGCCAAACGTGAAGGCCAGGACTTGCTAACCCACCATCTAGCTATTTCTATTATTTTTATGGGTGCCTTGGTCAGTACGAGATAATCCACTTTGGACAGAGAAAGAAAATATCAGAATGTCTATTTATATTTTTTAAGTGAGAAAAAATAAACCATATTTAATGTACAAATGGACACTACCAAACTTACTTGGTCTAAATGCTGAACTGTCACATGTCACACATGAGACAAGCGTGGGGGGTGGTGAGCAAAATGGGTCAAATGATACAAACTTCCAGTTATAAAATAAGTTAAGTCCTGGGGATGTAATGTACAGCATGGTGACTATGGTTAATAATAATACTGTACTGCATATTTGAAAGCTGCTGAGAGTAGTTCTTAAAAATTCTCATCAAAAGAAAATAAAATGTAGGGGACTTCCCTGGCCGCAAAGTGGTTAAGAATCCTCCTGCCAATGCAGGGGACACGGGTTCAAGCCCTGGTCCGGGAAGATCCCATGTGCCTCGGAGCAACTAAGCCCGTGCGCCACAACTACTGAGCCTGCGCTCTAGAGCCCATGAGCCACAAATACCGAGCCTGTGTGCCACAACTACCGAGCCTGTGTGCCACAACTACTGCAGCCTGTGCGCCTAGAGCCTGTGCTCCGCGACGAGAAGCCACCGCAATGAGAAGTCTGTGCACCGCACCGAAGAGTAGCCCCGCTCGCCGCAACTAGTGAAAGCCTGTGTGCAGCAATGAAGACCCAACGCAGCCAAAAATAAATAATAAAATAAAAAAAAAAATGAAAAAAGGAAAATGTAACTATGGTGACAGATGTTAACCAGACTTACTGTGGTGATCACTTTGGAATATACACAAATATTGAACCATTATGTTGTACACCTGAAACCAATATAATGTTACATATCAATTACATCTCAAAAAAAAAGAGAGACAAGCAGCTTTAAAGATTCTTTCAGAGAAACTACAATTAGGGAAACACTAACGATGCAAACACACACAAACAAGAAAACTGCACAGCAATTTTTAACTCAGCCACGTTAGAAGGTAAAAAACAAATGCGGAACTAAATCAAACTTAAGAAGTCAACCGGTAAGTGAGAAAGTAGCTGAATTTCAAGAAAAATTTCACATGGTTGGTGGATAGGATCAATCATGAGTTACTAAGCAGAGGCAACAATGTGTCCCTTCCATCTGAATTGACAAATCTTTGTGAAGCATCTTATTTTTCCCACCTCTACAGCCATCAAAATTAAGCAACAAATTCAACTTTTAGAGACAGAGCGTCCAATTGTTCTATAACAATGAGATAAGCCAAGAGTTTTAAACTAGCAAAGTATTTTTAATTACATGGCTCTCACTGAAAAATTATTAGTAATTTTGATGGAAAAAGGATCATCATGTACATTGAAAGCACAAAAATTTTTCTAGAATAGCACAACTTAATGTATTTTTTTAATTATACAAAACACTGGTACATGTATATAATTTTTCTATAGTTTTTACCGACAGGAACGTGTGACCAGAAAAGTTTGGAGATGACTGTTCTAATCGCAAGGAATATGATTTTAATCTGAGATTTATCACAGGATTAGTTTTTTTCTCTCTCTTTCTTTGGTCCTTAATGAAAATCAGAAATCCTTATTAAAATAGCAGTCTATAATAACAATAAAGAATATGACATTCAAAAAGGCTTTCTACATAAACGTAAAAACGTGGGAATTAAATCATTTCTCCAATGATTTTAAACTGGTAAAAGTCCTGTTGCAAACCATCTTCTAGCACTTCCCATCCACTCCTTCAGACCTGTTTTGCACTCCACCCACCTTGCTTCAGGAAATATATTTCGTTTTTCAACTTCAGAGCAGCTTTACCTGCTGGAAAATCCTTACAGTTACGAGTACTCAATTTCCTAACCATTTCTGCAATCTACAGTATGCAAAGTGTCCTGCTAGACTGAGGGGAATAAAAAGATGAGAAGCACCATTCCTATTTTTACACAAATAATTACAGTACAAAGCAGATGTGCCAACAGTTCTAAGGAGGTTACAACCTGAGTGCTGGAGAAGCCCTGAGGAGTGACTGACAGCTACAAGGCAGCTTCCAGGAAACTGGGACTGGAGCTGGGACCCAGAGAGGAAGAGGCAGCGAGTAGGGAGCCCAAGAGACCACTCCTTTGGCTAGCTTTCTCCCAGCTGGAGGATAAATAATTCCTGTAAGGCTTAGTCTCTTTATTTCATTCTGAAAAGCGAAAAGCGAGACTATCTTTTCCAGCTACGCCTCCCGGAACTGTCTTCCACCACCCTAATCAGGCTCCACATCTCCTGCCCGAGACTAGGGCCTTAGCTCCATACATTTTCTCTAGCGTCCACTTCTCCCCTTTCTAATACAAACAACATACCAAGGTCAACTTAGTATTGCCAAAGTATGCTTCTGGGCATTCCCTCCTTCCCCTCAATTACTGTCAATGAATCCCTGACATCTACCGATTTAGTGTTCAAACAATACACCCCACTCGACCTTCCCACTCCCATTACTTTCCTTAGTAGTGATCCCCTATGTTTCAGCCTATTGGGCCCATTAATGTTCCCCAAGCATAGGGTGTGACTTTGCATCTTCACCCCTTTGCTGGGACCAATCTTCCACCTTTATCCACCTCTACTGGTCAAATTTTCACTCACCCTTCAAGATGTACACTGTCTCCTGACATTTTGAATTAAATAAGATATCTTCCTCCTTTGAACACCCTTGGTACTTTCTCTGTTCCTATCTTAGGCACTTCTACTCTCCTTGTATTATCATTACTTGAGCTGCAGTTCCTATCTCCACCTCCCAACTAAGCCCCTCAAGGACAAGGACTTTTGTTTACTTATCTTCTAGGGAACTGGGGAGACTGTTAAACGGCACAGAATAAATAAGAACAACTCAGGGGCTTCCCTGGTGGTCCAGTGGTTAAGACTCCACGCTGCCAATGCAGGGGGCCCGGGTTCAATTCCTGGTCAGGGAACTAGATCCCACATGCCGCAACTAAGACCCAGCGCAGCTAAATAAATAAATAAATATAAAAAAAAAGAAAAAAGAAAAGAAAAGGAAAAGAAAAAAGAACAACTCAAACCATTACAGCGCCCCCTGCCGTCTTATTGCCTTTAGTGGCAATTAGTGATCAGACAGCCCACGAACATCTCATCACTCAGGCGCAGAATCTCACCTTCCTTGACTCCTCTCCTTACATGCATTCAGTCTCCAGGCACCAGGGAGAAGTAATTCTTTGTTCATACTTATTTTTCTGTCTAGCTCCGTGGAGGCCAGCTTCCTCTCTTTGGTGCCCTGCCTTCATCCCCCCGCAGTTCACCTCCCACCTTGCTCTCAGGTCTTCTTCCTAGAACTCTAGAGCCTTGCAGTCAATACTCCCCAGCACCTGGTTCCTGTTTCCCCATCAAGCTTCATTTCCCATGAATTTCTCTCCCTCCCCTGCATGAACCTTTTCCATCCAGCAAAATGAGTCTACTCAGTACTTCCTAAATATGTCTTGTATTTTGAACACCATCCTTTTCTCCCATGATAATGCCTGGGATTTCCCTCCCAGTCTTCTCTGACTTTTCAAATCCTACTTATCCTTCAGAGCTAAGCTAAAATGCAACTTGCCCCTCATCTGTTCAAGAGGCCTCTAGTAGGCATTATAGGAAGAACCAATGTTAACTGAGTGCTTTCTATGTACCAGGCATTTCACACAACACCCTCAGGAGGTAGGTACCATTGTTGTCTCACTGTATAATGACAAAACTAAGGTTTACAGATGTTAAATAACATACCCAAGGTCACAGAGCAATTGAATGGTAGAGCGAGGATTTGAAATTAGGTCTGTGGGACCCCTCAGTTCAAGCTCCAACCATCATACCAAACTCATTCTGTCCCAACGTGTGGGGTAAGGAAGGGCTTCTGTGGACACACGGATTCTTTCGAAGAGGAAGGCCTATGAAGGATGACCACTCAGGAATGGGCCTCACCTGCCATCCACTGTTTTCACTGGAGAGCTGCGTGACTAAGGAGACACAGCAGGAGAAGCAAGTGGGAATCAACTAAACTCTAACCAGGTGGGAC